TGAAGAAAGTTTGTTTCTTTTTTACACAACCCTCCTTTGGAATATTTTGAAGAGACGATGCACCAAAACATAAATTAAAACAAGAATATTTACCTCATAATTAGCAGATTTCTATTTATTAAATAACTGCATTAACAATCTGTGTCCTTACAGAGCTTTGTTGGAGGCTTTAACCACTGGCAGCAGCCTCAGAAGAACCTCCTCTGAAGCAGAGTATTTCTTCAAGTCAAACACATCCAGATCTTTTCCTGATGACACTAAGATGAAACCCAGAGCTGACCACTGAGCAGGAGACAGTTTATCTGTGGAGAGACTTCCTGAACTCAGAGACTGTTGGATCTCCTCCACTAGAGAACGATCATTCAGTTCATTCAGACAGTGGAACAGATTGATGCTTTTCTCTGCAGACACATTCTTGTTGATCTTCTTCTTGATGTACTGAGCTGTTTTCTGATTGGTCTGTGAAACTACTTCCTGTCTGTGTCAGCACACCTTGTAGGAGTCTCTGATTGCTCTGCAGTGAAAGTCCCAGGAGGAAACGGAGGAACAAGTCCAGGTGTCCATTTGGACTCTGCAAGGCCTGGTCAACAGCTCTCTGATGGAGATAGTTAATATTTGCATTGTTAAAAACCTTAGTAAAAAATGACGGTGGATTTTCTTCCATCAGGTTGACTCCAGAGTTGATGAAGGTCAGATGAACATGAAGAGCAGCCAGAAACTCCTGAAAACTCAGATGGACGAAGCAGAACACCTTTTCCTGGTACAGACCTCTCTCCTCTTTAAAGATCTGTGTGAACACTCCTGAGTACACTGAGGCTGCTCTGATATCGATGCCACACTCTGTCAGGTCTGATTCATAGAAGATCAGGTTTCCTTTCTGCAGCTGATCAAAAGCCAGTTTTCCCAGAGACTCAATCATCTTCCTGCTCTCTGGACTCCAGTGTGGATCTGTTTCAGCTCCTCCATCATACTTGACCTGCTTCACTTTGGTCTGAACCACCAGGAAGTGGATGTACATCTCAGTCAGGGTTCTGGGCAGCTCTCCTCCCTCTCTGCTCTCCAACACATCCTCCAGAACTGTAGCAGTGATCCAGCAGAAGACTGGGATGTGGCACATGATGTCTTCATGTGGGAGATGATCCTGCTGGTCTGTTTCTCATCTCTGAATCTCTTCCTGAAGTACTCCTCCTTCTGAGGGTCATTGAACCCTCTGACCTCTGTCACCATGTCAACACACTGAGGAGGGATCTGATTGGCTGCTGCAGGTCGTGTGGTTATCCAGAGGAGAGCAGAGGGAAGCAGTTTCCCCCTGATGAGGTTTGTCAGCAGAACATCCACTGAGGTGGACTCTGTAGCATCAGTCAGGATCTCCTTGTTGTGGAAGTCCAGTGGAAGTCGACTCTCATCCAAGCCATCAAAGATGAACAGAACCTGGAAGTGTTCAAAGCTGCAGATTTCTTTGGTTTCACTAAAAAAGTGATGAACAAGTTCCACCAAGCTGAACTTTTTCTCTTTCAGCACATTCAGCTCTCTGAAGGTGAATGGAAATATGAACTGGATGTTCTGGTGGGCTTTGTCTTCAGCCCAGTCCAGAGTGAACTTCTGTGTTAAGACTGTTTTTCCAATGCCTGCCACTCCCTTTGTCATCACTGTCCTGATTGGTTGATCTCTACCAGGTGGGACTTTAAAGATGTCTTCTTGTCTGATCGTTGTTTCTGGTCTGTTTGTTTTCCTGGATGCTGTTTCAATCTGTCTGACCTCATGTTCATCATTGACCTCTCCAGTCCCTCCCTCTGTGATGTAGAGCTCTGTGTAGATCTGGTTCAGAAGGGTTGGACTTCCTGCTTTAGCAATTCCCTCAAACACAGACAGGAACTTCTTCTTCAGACCAGATTTAAGTTGATGTTGACAAACTGTACCAAAATGTCCTAAATTAACAAAATAACAACAATCAGATATGAAAGTAAATCCTTTCATGAATTTAATTACATCACTTTAGCAAATGTGTAATTTATCTATCATTTCAAATCTATTTAGAAATCCTCTTACTGATCTCCAGATGGTCAGCCAGCTTTTCCTGCTTCATCCTCTTCAGGAAGTTCAGTGTGATCTTCATCACTGCCTCTCTGCTGCTCCTCCTCTGCTCTTCATCATCACCTTCCAACACCTCATCCTCTCTCTGACTCTGAATGTTCTGGGTAAATCTGGACTCAGAACTTTCTGGATCTTCTTCAGTTCTTTTTTCACAAAAGTAACAATGTTGTCCTCCAGCAGCTGGAACAGAATAATAGATGAAGGAAACATCAGAGTGAAATCATGGAGCCAAACACCAGATGGATGTTGGACAGACTGACAGTCCTCTGGTCTACAAAGTGCAGCATGAAGGTGACTTTGAACAGAACTTGTGGAAAAGTAGTTGTTGTTCATATACAGACCATAAATATGGAGTCCAGCTGTATTTGATGCTGCTGGGCAGATGGACCCCTGGGAACCTCTGAGTTCTGCTGGTCCACTCTGTGGAGGAACCAGGAACAATTAGGAAGTCAGGAAATATTCATCCAGCAGTATTCACAGAGGAAATTACCAGGAATTTCACATTAAACGTCCTTAATATAGAAAAACAGAGCATGACATGAACATGATTCAAAGTTAGAAAGAGGAAGATGATCTACACTGATGAATACCGGTGTACAAAAGATTGTTAATTGTTTTTTTCAGCTCTCTAGTTTAGTTTTTTCTTTATCAAGATGTTTTAGATGTAGTATTTTAATTCAGCCACCAGGTGGCTTCTTGTTCATATTTGCTATATCTTGCTTATAGATAAACTTTGTTTATTACGTCTTTCTAATGTGTCCGTCCATTGAATCAAAGTAATACTGTTGGTGGTTTAGTTCAGTTTCATACATTTCTAAGAGCTGTATTTGCACTTTGTCCTGTTGAATATTATGGTCGTTTATTGTGGTTTACTCTTATTGTTGTGAGCTAAAGTTAGCTGTTTAATATTAAGCTATTAGTCTCGATTAATTAGATGCAGCTGTTATTCCTGTTACCATTTCCAATTGAAATGCCTTATTTCTCTTGTGTGTTTTATTGTGTGACGCTATAATTTGCAGGGTTGATTATTATTGATGTGTAATTATTGCTTATGTTTTCAGAGTCAGATATTAATCAGTTGCTTGTCTTTAGTAATCTTTAAACATTTTTATTCATTTTGTGGACATTTGGTTTATATGTGAAAGTACAGGCAAGTTCTCATGATTTGTATTTTTTTATCTTTATAGAAAACCACACAAACACACCACACGTTCCATTAAATGCATGGAGGAAACTCAAGAGCTAATTAAAGTCAAGTAAAGCTCAATTCTGGACTCGGACATTCGTTTCACTAACTCACCTGAACTTATATATCAGCTGTCCTAACCAGACCCTTGGAGTGATTGCAAACCTATAACTAAACCAGCTTCAGTCTTCATTACAACCAGTAACACCAGAATAATCCAGTGGCCATTTTAAAAAGTTGATTTTGAAGTTGGACTTCAAACAGTTTAAACTGTCAGCAGATCTGATGCTGGTGGAGACAGTTTCCCAGAGCTTGGGGACAGTGGAAGTGAAGGCTCTGTCCACACAGGTTCAGGACAGTGTGGGACATCCACCAGGTTCTGATAACTAGACCTGAGGTGATGTGGACATGGAGGAGGTCTGAAATATGTGGGTGTGTCCATGTGGGATCCTCTCCTGGATGTTATAGAGGATTTAAAATGAATCCTGTAGATCCTGGAAGCCCAGTGAGCTCACATTGTATCTGTCCTCACAGAGACAATCAGAAGGTCCATGAAGTGATATCTGGATGTGAGCAGTGAACCAGGTGATCTAAGCAGTTGTAAAGATTTAATGTTCCTGCTGATCCCATTAACAACCAGCAGAACCTCTCATGGTCCACATCAGCTCAGTTTGGTTGAGTTCCAGCAGATCTCACCAACCACATCATGAAGCTTTCCTTCCCTGCTGAACTGCTCTCACAATGCACACAGGAACCAAGTCCTGATGGACCAGAATGGCTTTACCAGGTATTTCCCAGTGGAAATGTGATCCACTGTTAGTCTGACATGGAGCCAGGAAGCAACAGAACATCATCATTAACATCCAGAGATAAAGATATGAAGGTGTTTTCATGAGAACAGAGCAGCTGATTCTGTAGATAATGGATCAAACCTCTGGAAATATAACTGGAAACATCTGAGTTCTTACTGGTTCAGTTTCCAGAGTTACAGCAATTAGAAACAGCTCACCTCTCTGATGATTGAGGTCCAGGAGATTTAAAGTAAATGATGTCACCCTTTGACCTGTCGCTCGTAAAGGACACACAGCTGGGTTCTGGTTCTGGTTCTGGTTTGAATCTCTGATGGATCCTGAAAGAAAAACTCTCATTAGAAACTCTGTGTTTTGCTTTCTGGAGAATTTTTTATGTGACTAAAATAAAAAGCTGTAAACCAAAATCAGAACCAGAGAGATCATCAACCTGATGTTCTAAATGATTCCTATCAGAACCGGTCCAATCCTCCAATATGTTCCTGATCATTGATCCTCCTGAATAATGTTCAGCCTTCTTTAAAGAGCAGAAAGATTTATTTCTTAGACCTACATGTTGGTTTGAAATGACTGAGAGAACAGTTTGGTGATCTTAGTGTTGAGCTCTGACATGGAGCAGAACCAGGAATCATTTCCACTCTGACCATCCAAGGAGGATCTGATGGAGCTTCAATCAGAACCAGATGGTCCGTTAGAGACACTGAAGCCCACTGCTCAATCAGATCCACTAAATATTTAGTTTCACTGTAGAAATGGTTGATAATCTGCCATGTTGGATGATGTTTGAACTTCAGAGGTGGACTGTAACGGGGTTCTTTTATGACTTGGGCCACCGTACACAAGAAAAAATGACGGGCCAAGGCCAGAGATTACTTCAGTGATATTTTATTTCTATCAGTGCAGTGAAAAATGGCAGTTGCAAATATTTACAAAAGGAAGTCCAAGTCAGGTTAAAAGAAAAACAGCACAGCAATCAATATCTTCCAAGTCCAATAGTCTCACCTTCAGTGTGGCACCTCTAGAGTCCAGGTGCAGACTGACTCCCTGTGGAACAGAGCCCTGCTTTAAAGCCACAGGCTCCGCCCCCATAAAGTCCAATCAAACACACACAAAAAACAAAAATCTAAGCAATTACTTCTAACTCAAATAAACTCCCAAAATATACAAAATAATAATAATAAAAATGAATTTGTAAACAAAATACACTCAAAATAGAAAACAGCCAGCACATTGTGATGACAGCACCATATTACGCAATTTGCTCCAGGTGCATCAATTAAAAAGAAAGCTGGGAAAATGTTTGACTGAAGTAACAAATTAGAATAAATGCCAACTGAACGAAAACACCACGATGGACCGCCTCAGTTTAAGCTGCAAAAAAACGTAATAATTGTGCATGTTTATGTATGTGTGCTGGCTTGATAACACGGACTCTTTAATTAGATCTCCGCTCGTGAATTATATAATATAATTCATAGAAAATGTTTTATTTCAGAATGAATCTGTCTTTTGTCAGATTTTAGAGAAAGATGCAAATATCAACCTAGAAATAAAATTCACTTCTGTCTATTTGTTCTTGTGTTAATATTAATATCAGACAAAATAAATGAGTGTTTCATTTGGAAAGATTAGGTTAAAACACAGTTAAATGTTTCTGGTCCAAATGTCATGTCAACATAATAGTTTATAAGAGTGAGTCCTGACTGAGGATTTATAAGATTCTTTCTGTATGGAGTCAATAACTGTCCAATGAATGATGGTTAAATTGATGTCAGGTAAACATCAGATCAGATTTAGAGATTCTGTTAAACTAGTGAAGCTCTGGGTAGAGACTGTGGATCCAAACGGACCTGTTTGTTTTTTTATACAAAGGATCCAGTTGAACTTTATTGTGTTCATAGTAACATGTTCATTATTGGAACATGTTTTCATGGAGACATCATACGTATTACATCTTTGACGTATGAAAAGAAAAATAACCTGAAATTCAGTCCAATGTTTCATGACAACAGAACCCAACAGAACTTATCATCACATGGCCACAATAACAGATATAAACAGAAGTTACAGCAGTTAGAAACAGCTCACCTCTCTGATGGTGGAGATCCAGAAGATTTGAAGTTAATGATTGCACCCATTGACATGTCGCTCTTAAATGACACACTGGGTTCTGGTTCTGGTTCTGGTTTGAGTCTCTGATGGATCCTGACAGAAACATGATGATTAAAACTTAATCAGCAAAGAGGAGCAGCAGCAGCTTCATCACCACGTCTGTTCTGGCCTGATATAGTGAACGCTGTGTGAAAAGGGCTGTGGACAGTTAGAGATGGTGACCTCACCTCTGACCTTTGCTCTGGCTCTCATCTTCCCCACACAGAGTGGTTTTAGAGGGAGGGACTCCCTCCTCTCTGTCCTCACACTGATCCATGCTGCTGAATCCACATCAGCTCACACACACTTTCTAGCTTCACCTGCAGAGGAAACACACATCATTCATCTGCACATCAACTCTGATCATCCTTTACATCATTAGTGCTGGAAAAAGATCAGCTGCCTCCTCTGATTGGCTCTCTTCTCTGCTTCATATCAGTGTCAGGTGAATGCAGTCAGACAGCAGAGAGGCAGAGGAAGCAGATTGTTGATAACAAAATAATAACAAAACATTTTAACTATGACGATTGTTCTTTGTACTTTTACACAGTAAACTTGTCAGATCCTTGATATCTAAAATGTTATACAATTTACAATCTTTTATTTTATCTATGCTGAAACAAAACAAATTTAACAGCATTGACATTCTCAATAAACACATTAAATTTCTATATCTATGGTCTATGTTAAAATGTTAGTAATTATGGGGATCCTGAAGGCCTGAGGGGCCAAAAGTAGCTGCTTAGTTCATTTGTGCAATGGGCGGCTCAATGTGATCACTATGACATCATGTTTTCAGATCCACTGACTGCTGACTTAGTTTGGATGTAAAGGTAATGCAGATAATTCATGTTCATTTTAATTGTATTTTTTATTTGTTATTTTTTAGACTCTATAGTTGTGGGTTCAAGTCAGGAATGTCATATCAGTGTCAGGTGAATGCAGTCAGTCAGAGGAAGCTGCAATCAGCTGCTGTACGTCATTCCGTCCACCAGATGGAGACATGGAGCAACATTTTCATAAACTGACTGAATATTAGGTGCTATTTTAGTTCACAAATTTTCATTTCTACAAGTAGATTATCTTCTCCATCAAAGATTAACTATGTAATGTGATTAAATTAAACATTTTTGAACAATATTTTATTTTGAAAGTAAGAAACAGGAAACTAGAGTTTAATTCCAGGAAACTAAATCACAGATCTGTATTTTTGGAGAAGAAAACAGAAAACAAATAATAAGCTGTTCATCCTGTTGTTCCAGTTTCCAGTTCATCAGTAAGTTAACAGTCCTGTAGATCAGCCTTCAAACAGCAGAGATTAAACTTTGAGCTGAAATCAGAAGTGAACCTGTTGACCAACAACCAGCAGGAACGTTCATGTAGAAAAAGGTCAAGTAGGAAACAAAGAAAACTTACAGTTTGTCCAAACGATCCAAACAGTTGAAGAAAAATATCTGAACAACAAACTGAGACTCAACAACCGGACCAGGGTCGCCCACTTTCAGTAACAGGAAGTAAATGTGATGTTGCATAACAGACATCACAGCTCACATGGTTTGTAGTTTCTTCTTTCAGAGCAGCAGAACCAGGAAGTGGAAAGTCTGCAGTGAAATCAGGCAGGTTGATAAAGTCTTCATGAGGAAGGAGAGAAGTTTTTAATGGAGTTCAATTAAATCTAGTTTTTAGTTTCCAGTCAAAATCTTTCCAGATTTGGTTTCCAATCCCTTTATGGCACAAAAATGCAAAGAAAAAACTCCACTCTGTGTTTTATTAATCTCCAGTTCAATCCAGTAAATTGATGCTGTCAGTTTTCCAAACAATCCACAAATGGAGACCCACTGGTGTCTCCATCCTGTGTGTGTGTGTGTGTGTGTGTGTGTGTGTGTGTGTGTGTGTGTGTGTGTGTGTGTGTGTGTGTGTGTGTGTGTGTGTGTGTGTGTGTGTGCGTGTGTGTGTGTGTGTGTGTGTGTGTGTGTGTGTGTGTGTGTGTGTCTGTGTGCACATCTATTCTGCACATACAGTAGCAATATGTGGTACTGTTCACAGCAACTAATGAAGTTCAGCCTGTAGCAGAAACAATCAGCTGATTAAAACTCTAAATTATAGAATATAATAGAGTAAAGGATCTGATAAATCTTTCTCCCTGAGGGTTGAGATTGACCAGATTAATAGAGATTACAAAGATAAAGAAAAATACATTGAAAAAATAGGAAAAGAATAAGAAGGAAGAAAAGTAAGAGAAGAAGAGAAGACAGATCTTTTTAAAAGTGTGAGATTATTTTCTTGAAGAAATTGAGAACTTATAGAGATTTTATTGTTTTTCTTGGAAAGCTGAAGAAAAAACCTTCATAGAGTTTTGATGGAACCACAGGTTCTAGGATGAGTCCTAGTTAAAGTCCTTATCGGAGAATAAAGCAGGTATTTACTAGAGTTTTGGTTTGTAAATTCAGGGAACCAAACTTTAGAGAATCCTAAAGACCTTTATCAGAAATAAAGAGCCTCTTAGAGGATGAAGCGGCAGAGCGACCACAAAGCTGATTGGTTGGATTCTGTGAAGACGTTTGCAGTCTGAAGAGAAAATCCCACCTATTCAGAAGAATTGGTCTGAGTGGTTCCCTGGTCTTTTCTCTTCCTCAGGGTGAATTGTTTCACTATATAATCATGTAATATTGAGGAAAACGTCTGCATGGTGTGAATGAATGGATGAAAAGTGTCTTTTTTCCTGCTGGTGGTTCATTGAAGCTGATTGTTTTGAAAGGAAGAGAAAAAGAATCAGAAGCAGAGGAAGTGAACTGAGGCAAAGAAACCAGAAACAAAGAGTCTAGTTGATCTGGAGAAACACAAGGAAAGTTTGGAAGGTTGGATGAAATAGATAAAACGAAGAGAAAGACAGAAAAATGCTAAACAAATGGAAATGCTTCTATTTCTGTACATGAATCTTTAGTCTATAAATTATAAGCCTCCATCTAGAAAAACAACAAAATGAACCCAAATCGATTTCTATTGGCTTCTTCTTCTTCCTTCGGTCTGAGCCTCGCTGAGGTGCATCTGACCTCTGACCTCAACTCCTCCACCCTGTCCTCCCATGGACCAGATGATGTCTCTTTCACACCACCAGCTGATGAACGTGATCCAGTAGATCCAGTGGATCAAGAAGATCAGGAAGATGAAGAAAACCTTCATCACCTCCAGGCACTGAAGTGTCTGTTGATACTAATTTTAATGTTTGACCCCAGAGAACTGATGAAGCATTTCCATCCAGGGGACAACTGTCAGGTCTCCTGTTGGACATTTGGACTGAAACTGTGTGACTGAACTTTAACAACCTCTGCTGGTCTGCTGTCCAGCATCAGCATAGAGAAAGAAAAGATAAACAGGATTCAGAGCTGAGAGAGGAGAAGACGCCACTCTGAACTGGTGACGCTTGTTTCATCTGTGGACAACATGAACATCGACTGAGGGACGATCTGGACGACCCAAATATCCAACACCAGAACCAGTTGGACTGACAGGGAGCCGGAGGAGAAAGATGGGAAGGATTTCACTGCAGCGACACCGACAGCAGGAGGGAGAGAGAAGAGAAAGGAGACATTTAAGATACACACACACACACATCCCCCCCCCCTCCCTCCACACACACACACACACACACACACACACACACACACACACACACACACACACACACATCCCCTCCATGGCTGCCACCTTATCGTGGTGGGGGGTTGCGTGTCCCAGTGATCCTAGGAGTTCTGCTGCCCAGTGCAGACGGTTCTAGGTGAGGGACCAGACCAAGTGCAGCCCAAAGATCCCTTATGATGATACGACCGTTGGAAACAGGGGTTGTTCTCTCCGTACATGAGGTCCCACCCTGGAGCCACCCTGGCCTGGGGCTGGGGCACGCTGGGGAGCCCCTGGTGGCCGGTGGTGGTAAGACAATAAAAACCCTTGAATCCCTGAACTATATCAACAATATGTGCACCAAGCAATACATACACTTAGCATTCCACAGATAAATGCTTTTAATCTGGTTAAGAATAATAATTGTACTGTCAATAAATGACGTCTAATCGATGTTCTTAGTGACCAGAGGATCAATAAGGCCTTAATCAGCCCAGAGGTTCAAAGTGATGAAACATGAGGATGGAGGCTCTCTATTAAAACATTCCTCACCATCTTCCATGTTCTTTCAGCAAACAGTTGAGACAGAGCTGGTTTTGGTTCCACCACTATTGACCTGCTGCTTTAGCCGCCATTGAAGGTTTTATTAAAAGTCTGTCAGTCTGCTGATCATGTGACCAAACCAGAAAACACACTGAAAATATAGAGAACAGCAAGAAAAAGGGAAAGTTATCAAAAATGTTCATACTCGAGGAAAGTATGATGTACTCCAAAATATACTTCAGTAAAGTAGTGAAGTATTTTTACTTTGTTACTATACAACACTGAATCAAATAAATACACCACAAGATTCATTGTATTTCATTGAGATGTTAAGGAACAGACCACCACAAGGTCCAGAACCTTTGTGAAGTCAATGAAAGCGATTGATGGTTTTAAATACTTTACAAAAGAAAGTAAGATGCTTTTGTGCGAGTCAACGTGTCTCCTGCATCAGGTAAAGCTGCAAGTCTTTCAGGTTTTGTTTTTACCACCTTTGCACATCTGATAGGCAACATTGTTGCCATTCTTCTTGACAAAATAAAAAAAAAGCAAACTCATCCAGTGTGAATGGGACTGTCTGTGAGGATCGATTTACAAGTCTTTTAAGAGATGTTGAATTGAGGTTTGGATTTGTCTGCCTCATTCTAAATCAGGACATGGTTTAAGTAAATGAGTAGCTTTGACTGCGTGTCTAGGGATGTTGTCTGAGGTTTGTTTCTAACAAACATCTGAGTACATCAGTCGACTGCTTTCTGACATCTAAAAATAATTTTATTTTGAGGAATCAAACTACAGCATATTTAAATTGATCTTTTTCTTAAGAAAACTTCAAAAACCATAGAACTATCTTCTTCCACTTTGAAATTATACATTGTCTTGTGTTGTAGATAATGTAACATCCATTTGCTGCTGTAATGAGACAAATTATTAAAAACAGTTCAAGGATAAGTAATCTTTTGTAAGGCACACTACTTCAGTATGGTTTAAAACATGGTGGCACAAGGCTGTCAGGTTCACCATCGCCCTCCACCTGGACAATTTAGCTGAACAAAACACCAAGGTCCAATAGGACAGGCAGTCAAAGTGAATGATTCCCCACATTGATCTGTTCTTTTTTTCTGCTTTCTCGTGGGTCTCAAAACACAAAAGACTTGACATGTGTGATGTTCTCTTTGATAACTGCCTTTTCGGACGGCAATTGTGAGCTGATAGAACCAATGAACAAATTGATTTACTTGGTGCTTGTGAAAGGTAGTTTCTTGTTTCAAAGGCTCCTGAAGTTGTCCACAGATCTCAGTCCTTGCACCTTTTTCAAAAGTAGCAGCAGGTGTTTTATTTCTGGCCATGTCTTTTTGTCTTTCAAATATCCCTCTTTGACAAAATCCTTCAAAGCCACTGAAGCAGAAATAAAAGCCCTTTGTGGGATGGCTCACTCTGCCAAAGTTTTATAGAGTGGACTTCAGCTCTGGCATTCTTGTTTATATCCACATGTATTCCACACTCAGCACAAGACTAAGAAATCATGCAAGAATAACATGCAAGAAAGAGCATGACATGTACCGACCATCAGGCATGGAGTCTTTGAAATATAAACTGATTGGTCTGGTTTTAATTTACAAAGTCAAACTGAAAATAGCAGCACATGAAGTCACAAAGTTGATAAAAGTCTGTCTTTAAAACATTGCTAACCTGTTTCTCACTTTCTGTCAAAAGATACTCAAAAGTTCTTGGCAGGTGGGTGACAATATGAATCTAACTGGTCAGATGTTGCCACGGCCGTTTAAAAGGTTTAGTGGTCGACATAAAATGTTTGTTCAGATTAAGGAAGATTGTCTTCATTCATGTTTGAGCCGTCAATGACGACTAATCTGTGATTTGGTAAAGCAAAATAATCCAAATCAGAGCAGGAAGCAGATGGCACTAAATTCATGCAAATGCAAATATGCCCATCAATAATTTGCACTTGCTTATGCGACAGGTTGGGGTTGTTTTTAGTTCAGCCACAAACACAGAACATGCAGGAAAATGTTCAGAGAGAAAGATGTGCTTCTTTCACTTTTCATAACTTGACTGAGTAAAAACAGAACTGTGCTTCTGAATGCATATAATGCACAACTGTAGATTCCTAAAGGCCACAGAATAATGTGTTTCTGTAGCTTGTTGATTTTATATCACAGAATGACAAGAATGCATCAAAAGCATTGAAAGCTCTGATTAAAGTTTTGAAGGGATACGATTGGAACAAACTGTTGAACAAATTAAGGGGCAAAATCACAAAGATATTTCCAGTAGCTAATTGTGTGGACAATTTCAGCTAACTCTGAAACCAGCAACAGAAACATGTTTTCTAATTTCTTCACAAAGCCAATAGTCTTTCTCAGCTTCTCAGCAGTTTGTTCACTGATTTAGTTGATTATGTCCTTGTCTGTCTGTCTATTTATGTAAAAAGTAGTAAAATAGTTGCAAAATTTGAAAATTTGAATGTATTTGCACATATTAGATTTCATGGCAAAAATACTGTGTGGTTAGAAATCCTGACAAATGGGAAAATAAAACGGTTGGCAACTCAGGTGTGTCAGAGACGTTGAATTAATCTTCTCCTTTATTGAAGTATCCCTTGTATTTTTACAAATAATTTCTCTATTTCTTCCAACAGATGCTTCACATGATCCTGCAGAGATTACTAAACTCAATTCAACAAATTTAACTGAGCACAATTTGGGTGAGTTGAACTGAGAATCTTCTGCTTATTATGCTGATGGCGAGAAAAGGGATATCCAAGGAAAATGTTGAAGAGTCAGCTTCCTCATCATTTACTTTATGCTATGCTACTATTAACTTGTACTTGTATCAAACTTGGAGAAAAAATAAAACATGTGTCCAAATTAATAACTTGTCTGTGGATGCTAATTTGGGACACAACAGTGGAGCAGTCCAGTCCCAACAGTTCCCCCAATAGTACCATAAACAATGGTACCACTTGTACCATTGTTTACCATGTTGTCCTTGTCAAACAATGTCCCTGTCCCTTTACCATCATTCCTCATTTCACGATGAGAACAGCAGTCAAACAGGACAGAGAATCAGTTTTTTAAATTAGCACTAGATCTGCCAGCCACATTCCTGCACATATGCCAAACATACACCCAGCCCCATTACACATCTTCACAAGCTGCACCTCATCATGTTCCTGCACCTTTAGCAGAGACACAGATGCAACCAATTCAATAGCATCTTCAAAAATAACAGCCACAGATTCACCTGCAGCAGAATGTATGAAGAAAAATAAAACATATTGATAAGGGCTGATCATCATCATCAGTCGTGTTCCTACAATGTCACTGCTAGTGCATGTTTTTGTGCTCAAATAAAGCTGAGGACAATAATATCTGTTTAGGTAAATACATTTTAATATCTTACAGGATGCAGCATTTATTTTTGATCAATTATTCTCCAACAATCATTTTTACCAATACATGTAACCCATTTAGAAAGGAAAGAGAAGAAAAATTTTGATCTTGAAATGTTTCTATGCAGATGATGGAGAGAGGAGCAGAGCTGCAGAGAGGGTTGAGACGAGGCTTTATTCACAAGATCCATCTAATGGCCTTTACCACACAAAACGGGAACATTTAGGCATCATGGCTGAAAATGGCCCACACAAAGTTTCTGATGGCCCAAATCCAAGACCAGAGGAGAGTAACAGGTGTTTTCCCAAAGCTTACTGTTTTGGTTTACTGTCTAATGGAGAGAAAGTTGAAGGAGATTGGTTACTGTATTCCAGAAATACTAACAAAGTCTATTGTTTTGCATGAAAGCTCTTTGGAGAAGCTAAAGTTCCTGCCATGTGGCTTGTGGAGGGTATAATAACTGGCCATGTCTTTCAAAAACACTGAAGCCCCATGAAACCAGTAGTTGTCACATAAACGCTTCTCTGATGTGGAAAGAAATGTGGCTTACGCCTCGGTAAGACTATTGATAGTGAACTGCAGAGAACCAGCAGCTGGAAAAGCTCACTGGAGAAGTGTGTTGGCTCCAGTTATTGACTGCATCCTCTTCCTTGCAGAGAGAAACTTGCCACTAAGGGGGAAAATTGTCAGGCAGGAAATCCTAAAACTGGAGCTTTTTTGTGAATCCTGGAGCTCAGAGCACAATCTGATGTCACACTGGCAACATGTTAGAAAGGCTGCAAACTCCAAACAAACCCCTGGATATCTGACATGGTGCTCAGAATGAACTGCTAGATTCAATATCAGAGAGTTTGGGCTAAATATCTGCCAGACCAAAGCCTCCAAGGACTTTGCAGTGGAACTGGAATATTTCAAAGCAAGAGCAGGCCTCAGTCATCATTCTATATATTGATACAGATGGGAAGACAAAAGTCACTATTGCAGAGTCTTTTGTGGGTTTCACTGCTGTGAAGGACACAACTGGGAAAGGCCTCACACTAACAGGGGTACTGGAGAGTTTGGGCTTGGATTTGGCTGATTGTAGAGGGCAAAGTTACCATAATGGCTCTAATATGAGGGCAATAAACAAGGGTGCTGAAGCTTTAATACAACAAAGATGTCCAGAGGCTCCATTCATCCCCTGCTGTAGCCACAGCCTGAACCTTTTGTTATGTGATGCAGCCTCATCTAGCAGAGAGTCTAACTGTCTTTGGCTCTGTCCAAAGATTGGACACCATCTTTGGGTTCTGTGAAGAGGCGGGACGTTCTCACAGAGTTTGTCGCCGTCACACTGAAGCCTCTGAGTGACCCGGTGGGAAGCAAAGCTAGACTCTGTCAAAGCTCCACGTTTCCAGATGGGGGGAGTTTTAGATGCACTGCAAACACTTGGAGAAGTGGCAGGAGACAGCAAAACTGTCTCAGAGGCAAAGTCACTATCTGATCACATTGTTAGGATGGAGATCCTTGTGTGCCTCACAGTTTGCTATGACTTATTATGTGAGATCAAGTTTGCAAGCAAGGCACTACAAGCAGCAGATGTGTGAATGGACACAGCCATTAGGCTGATGGAGTCTCTGAAAGAGGTTTTGCTCAAGTATAGAGAAGAGGGCTTTCAGAAGACACTTGGCATTGCAGGCAAGATGGCCGTGGAAATGGATGCTTCTCCTGAACTCAAAGAGAAACGAGTCAGGAAGCAAAACAAGTTCCCAGATGGCAATTCATGCACTGCTCATCATGAAAAGGAGCCACAAGCCACTTCAGGTTTTCAATGTTGTTGTTGACACACTCCTGCAAGAGCTGAGAGCTTTTCCAACTGGTGTCTGAGGAATTGAAATTCACCATTAAAATGGAGCAAAAGCTGCAGGAATCAGTGACCACATTTGCCCTGACCAGCTGTGATGTGTCAAGACATCATTCAAGAAATCCAGCCAGCAAGCCGTCTACTGACAGGTTCAAGGCTCTAGAAAAGGGACATTTCCTCATGACTCAGCAGAATCTGGATTTGGTATTTCCAAATGTGACAGTAGCCCTAAGAGTATTTTAACCAGGCCTCTGACAGTGGCATCTGCAGAGAGATCATTTAGCTGAAGCTCATCCAACACACCTTGGTTCAAACATGAGCAACGACGGCCTGTCTCAGTTAGCAGGGACCTCTATTGGACCCAGTGTGGCCCAGTCCACTTCATCTGATGCTGCACTTGACAAATGGGCGAGTGCAAAGTCACGGGATGTAACGGTTCAAAGGTCATACATGTTAAAACTGTGACATGGAGTCCAGACAGTTAAGATTTCATATTTCCGCTGCAGGAAATGTTGAGCACTGAGTTCCATCACTGTTATATATTTGTTCTTTGTTAAACTTCTGATTGGATCCAATTGATGACCAGATATATAATATGGAGCATTAAAAAAGGTTCCATAATATGTATTTTCTAAGTGCATGACTAAAGCTGCATGAGACAGCAGGTGGCGCTGTTCTTCAGTTTATGTCCAGGGGGGCATGTTGGCACCCACCTCTAGAATCTGTAGTTGCGCCTCTGATCCCTGGTGGCAGCGAGAGCCGCCAGGCATCATGGCTGCCGGCTGCCGTCCATCACCACCTTATCGTTCCTCCTTAAAATAAAAGGAGCAGCTTGGTTTGTACCAGAAGCTGCAGGAAGAGCAGCGACGTTCTGGATCCTGCTGCTGCAGGGCGGCGCCGCTGGAGGCGTTTGAAAATCAGAATCAAATCAAATCAAATTTCATTTGTATAGCACATTCAGCAGCAAGGCATTACAAAGTGCTTTACATCATAAACACAAGAACACAAAGTCATGCAACATATAATAGACAATACATTGTTACATATTACATTTCAAAAACAATTCTAAACAGGTGTGTTTTTAATTGCGATTTAAAAGAAGTCAGGGTTTCTGCTGTTTTACAGTTTTCTGGAAGTTTGTTCCAAAGTTTTGGTGCATAGATGCTGAAAGCTGCTTCTCCTCTCTTGGTTCTGGTTCTGGGGATGCAGAGCAGACCAGAACCAGAAGACCTGAGAGTCTGGAAGGTTGATACAACAACATCAGATCTTTGATGTATTGTGGTGCCAAACCGTTCAGTGATTTATAAACTAACAACAGTATTTTAAAACCTATTCTTTGAGCTACAGGGAGCCAGTGGAGGGACTTCAAAACTGCGTAATGTCTCTATCTTCCTGGTTTTAGTGAGAACGCGAGCAGCAGCTTCTGGATCAGCTGCAGCTTTTTGATTGATTTGTTGGACAGACCTGTGAAGACGCTGTTACAATAATCAATGCGACTAAAGATAAACGCATGAATGAGTTTCTCTAGATTTGGCTGAGACATTAGTCCTCTAATCCTGAAGATGTTCTTCAGGTGATAGAAGGCCGACTTTGTAATTGTCCTTATGTGGCTCTGGAGGTTCAAGTCTGAGTCCATCACTACTCCCAGGTTTCGGGCCTGATCGCTAGTTTTTAGTTGTAATAACGAAGCTGTGCATTGACTCTAGATCGTTCCTCTTTAGGTCCAAAAATAATGACTTCAGTTTTGTTTCTGTTCAGCTGGAGAAATTTTTGGCACATCCACACATTTATCTGTTCTAAACATTTATTCAGTGATTGGATGGGGTCAAAGGTCACCTGGTGAAATCGTAGTGTCACCCGGTGACACTACCATCCGCACAGTTATGGTAGCTAATATTATTACCTTTTATAACCTGAGCTAGTGGGAGAATGTTAAATATTAAATAAGAGGGGTCCTAAGATTGAACCTTGGGGTACCCCACATGTGACCTTTGACCTCTTTGATGAGAAGTTTCCAATTGAAACAAAGAAATCCCTGTTTTATGCAAGATTCAAATCAGTTGAGCACCGAACCGGAGAGTCCAACCTAACTCTCCTGTCGATTCAGTAATATGTCATGGTCGACACTGAGGTCCAACAGAACCAGCACTGTGGTTCTCCCACAGTCAGTATTGATATGGATAATATTGAATACTTTGACTAGGCCAGTCTCTGTGCTGTGGTGAGCACGAAAACCAGATTGGAAAGAGTCAAAGCAGTTGGTCATCATGAGGAAACTATTTAAGTGTTGACACAGATTTTTCAATAACTTTGCTGATGAATGGGAGGTCAGAGGTCGGCCTGTAATTCTCCAGTAGTGATTTTGTCCAGATTGTTCTTTTTTAGCAGTGGTTTGATGACTGCTGTTTTCAAATATTAGAGCTTTTTTGCTCCTCTGTCTTCGGGTTTGTCCACATGAATGTTGAAATCACCAACAATTATTAAACAATCATAATCAATGCATATGAGAGAAAGAAGATCATTCAAGTCAGTAAAGAAATTTTCCACATATGCTGGAGTTTTGTATAAAGTTAGTGTCAAAGTTCGTTTGAAGCCTTTAACCTGAATTCCAAGATACTCAAAAGATGTGAAATGACCCAAAGACATTTTACTACAGTTTATGGTATTTTTAAATATAGAAGCCACGCCTCCTCCTTTTTTATGTTTTCTATTCTCACTTAAAAAATTGTAGTTAGGAGGCGCTAATTCAATGAGTACAATTTGGTCATTATCGTCATTCAACCATGTTTCTGTCAGAAACATAACATCAACATTATACTCGGTGATGAAATCATTAATTAATAGAGCTTTAGCACAGAGTGATCTGATATTTAAAAGAGCTACTTTAAGTGGCTTGGAAGCAAAAAGATTTTCAGTCTGAGGTTCCTTTAGGCAGGGATCTGAGGTTTGAATTAGGACTGCTGTATTTCATATTTCTGTTTTTTGTAGATTTTCTTGTAGTGATCCGGACAGATAATATCCTGTTCTGCAGAACCCGGGGGCCAGACACATTCTGGATGAAGACGGGTATAAAGATAATATCTGGTCCCCGGCCTCAGACCTCAGAGACGCAGAGTGATGGATCCTCTGGGAAGTCAGGGGCAGGTGGCTTAAATGTAGTGATGTCTGCTACGTGAGTACTAAGGAGAGACCTGCCGAGGCGAACCTGTTGATTCATTCCATCTGTAAATTTAAGAAGCTTTAAAGAAAATTTCTCTGACAGGAGGAAAATCTTTAGACTCTTTAGACTCAACTCAGCACAGAAACACTGAAGAGGAACCAGAACTGGACCAGACTGTAAATCCAGGAATCAGAGGTTCAGTGAATGTGGAGTTGAAGGTGTGGAGGAGGATCAGTGAGTCAGAGGAGACTCTGTAGAAGGACAGAATGCCAGCAGGACAGTCCACATACACTGCTACTCTGTTGGAGACAGAGGAGGAGGAGAGACGAGTTTGTCTGTTATTGTGCCAGACAGAGTAACCATAACTATCAGAGCAACTCAGACTCCAGGAATTATCATTCCCTCCAAACACACAGTCTATAATGTCTCCTTTCCTCTTGATTCTTCTGTAACTCACTGATATATAAACTAATCCTCTCCACTCAACCTCCCAGTAACAGCGACCAGTCAGACCAGTTCTACACAGCAGCTGAAAAATATCAAATCTGTCTGGATGATCAGGATATGACTGAAGCTTCTCCACACATGTCACCTTCCTGTTGTCTTCAGACAGTTTGAGTTTTCTGCTCACTGTGTTTGTGTCGATGGTGAGTTGACAGGAATCTGATGGAGAGAACAAACACAATCCAGCTGCAGTTATTGATCATTTATTGACACTTTGACTCCTGAATGAGTGATGTGACAGTTTGAAGATGGTTGAATGTGAGCTGCTTTGTTGTCATGAATCAGATGAAAAACACACTTACATTTCCTCAGACCTGGAGTCAAGAATCGGCCTCCAGCAGGCTCCACCCTGAAAGGAGGAGGGGGGTCAGACCATCAGTCTCTTTCAGCAGCAAACATGGACATTACATGTCTCTCAGACACACATTGTCCTCCACTGAGACAGGAACAATCAGTAATGAACAAATTGCAGATAAATCATGTTTTATTGTGTTTTCTCTCTTTGACAGTTTAGATTAAATTTGTGATTCTATGCATCATAATTTCAGGATGACCTGCGTCTCTCTAGGATCCTTAACTACAGTCATTTTCAATAAATTACAATATTTATGAAAAGTATTTCAGTAACTCGGCTCACAAGTTAAACACATCATACAGATTTATTCCCCTCAAACTGTTTTAAAGCTTTTATTTGTTATTGATGATGATTTGTTGCTTACAGAAAACATTTCTGATCAGATTACAGATCAATAAAAACAATGAATATAGAAATGTGGGTCTAATGAAAAATATGTTTAATTTCTGCTGAAGTTGTTTTAAAACCTGACAACGAGCCTCATGGGAACCATATTCTAATTTATTGAATATGACTGTAAATATGAGATTATTGACATTAATCCAGTAACAGGATGTGGAGAGTTTAACGTTACTGGGACATTCATGGCAGTAGATGCTGCGCTCCATGCGCCCCGACTGCAGTAATCAATGTTACTGCCAGTTCAGCTGCTTACAACTATTTAATTGTTTCATTTATTGCAGTCGATTTAAGCTAGAAGCTGGTAAGATTACATAAAACTCTCTAACCTAAATCAATTTCACATCCAAAACTCAGACAGCGTTTAGCAGCTTAACTTGCCTCCATATGTTTTTCAGATTTGATGGTTAATTTTTGAAAGTTAGCAGTTCATGATATCATGGAGGCAAAGGCACCAGAATCATTGATTACTTTCAACCTAACCAACAAATCCAAAAGCTCAAAGCGACTTGGATGTAACTTGTAACGCAACGTTTATAGAAATGTAGTGAAGTAGAAAGTACAGATACTGTAAAATGTAGTGGAGTAAAAGTTCCCAGGATTAAATTTACTTATGAACAGAAACATGAAAAATGTCCTTAAGTTCAGGAACAAAGTTCTTGTCCCAACAACAGGATCAGGTGAAGGACCTCTGCAGTCCCATGATGCTTCCTCTCCTCTTCTAAACCATCTGATGGGCTGATATCATCCCTCTACTTTATCAATAAATCTGATTCTTTCTCTTATTACCATTCCATTATTGATCCTAAATGTGACGTCAGAGCTGTGGATCTGGAATCTGATTGGTCGGATGTATATTTCCTAGTTTTCCAACATGAAGGGTCTCTGTCTTTTTCCAACATGTTGGGAATTTTTCCCAAATTTTATTGAACATTCCCAAAAGCTTTCCCAACTACTGGAAACCTGAACACATTAGTCTTTTCTTGGATCTGTCTAAAAGGTTTGCACAATTCTACTTTTTCACCATCATTCACTGCAATTCTTCATTTCCTCTGGAAAACAAGGGATTTCCATTCTCTCCTGATTCCTTTCATTCTTTGATCATTTTTCAGATGTCGCCCCCTGGTGGAGATCAAACTACTAAATGGATGAAACTGTTAAAATTCTCACTTTCTTTCTTTGCCTCATGAATTGTTTTCTTCACTTTTTATGTATTTTATATTTTATTAAATCCTGAAAGTTGTGAGTTTTGTTTAAAATCTAAAGTTCTTTATTTTTCTCTCCCAGAACTTTAAACATCCATCTGACCAACATGGAGTTACTTTTCTTCTCATCTTTGCTTCTTGGGGCTGATTGGTCTGGAGCTCCATCAAATATTATTTTAAATCTTTCTACCATCAGTAGATCATCATGGAAATCTAACTGAACTTCTTTATTAATTTAGTCAGAGTCCCTATTAAACTATTAAACCATCCCACTCTTTAATTTTCCTTGTGAGCCGTTCTTAGTCTGGAGAATATTCCAGAAAACTGGGTGATGATCTCTGCCTCCAGATGAGGCGCCTAATATTATTAATTATTAAATTAAACATTCAGCTTCAAACTAAATGTTTCCCAGCAGACTGACTAAAGACATTCTCCCTCTTCCTCCTCTATCAGACCTTCTCTGCTCCTGCAGCAGGTTCCTCCATACCTGAGAGCTTCCAGTCTCCAGTGTGGATCCTTCAGTCCAGCCGACAGCAGCTTCACTCCTGAGTCTCCTGGATGATTGTAGCTCAGGTCCAACTCTTTCAGATGGGAGGGGTTGGAGGTCAGAGCTGAGGCCAGAGAAGCACAGCCTTTCTCTGAGACCAAACAGCCTGATAAGCTGCAGACACACAATTCATCACATGATGAGAAAATGAGAACATTGAGGTAGAAACCAAGGTCTGAACGGACGGACGGACGGACGGACGGACGGACGGACGGACGGACGGACGGACGGACGGACGGACGGACGGACGGATGGATGGATAACATGGAATAAATCAGAAAGCAAACCAACTGCTGGGATCTGTAAATAATTTGTCAAGAGCCCAGAGTTACCTGAGAGTTTCCAGGTTGCAGTTTGGACTCTTCAGTCCAGCAGAGAGAAGCTTCACTCCTGAATCCTGCAGGTTGTTGTTACTCAGGTCCAGTTCTCTGAGACTGGAGGACTGGGAGCTGAGAACTGAGGACAGAGCTTCACAGCTTCTCTCTGAGAGGTTACAGCCACTCAGTCTGAGGAGACAGGGAGGAAATTCTGTTATTAACAAATCACAAAAATTTTTTTCTTTATTTCCAGTGAAAAATGTTCTTGGAAAGATTGGAAGAACTTTTTACTTCACATATTTTTTATGTTGACTTTTATTGTGAACTGGATTATTTTGTAGATGCTCCTCCTGTCTTGAAGGTTTGAACAACAGACAACAAAGAGGCTGGCAAGAGAAATATTACAATCCACCATGAATTAAATTAATCCAATGTCAGTTTTAACAGAAAGAGTCCAGTGGAAATCTAGGCTGAAGAAAAGCATCAGGTCTGGTTTGAGGGAAAACACCAGCTTCAAGCAAAGCAGAGAGAATCTCAGATTTCAACTTTCTCTTTTTTCAACTGATGGATACAGAGATGGAAAACTGAGCAGAAACAGGCAAAAACTGTTCCTTTGAGCAACAACTTAACTGTTCAGCTCACAGTAAATGTTTCCCAGCAGACTGACTAAAGACATTTCTCCTCTTCCTCCTCTATCAGACCTTCTCTGCTCCTGCAGCAGGTTCCTCCATACCTGAGAGCTTCCAGTCTCCAGTGTGGATCCTTCAGTCCAGCCGACAGCAGCTTCACTGTAGCTCAGGTCCAACTCTTTCAGATGGGAGGGGTTGGAGGTCAGAGCTGAGGCCAGAGAAGCACAGCCTTCCTCTGAGACCAAACAGCCTGATAATCTGCAGACACACAATTCATGACAGGATGAGAAAATGAGAACATTGAGGTAGAGACCAGGTGTAACCCACATAAAGTGGGGATAGCCTTTTGGGAAATAGAGATTGGGTAGGCGGGGTAGTCTGCCTGGCCAATGGGAAGTTTGATTCCCATGAATGTTTAGACCAATCAGAGAGCGGAATGCCACAGAGGCTCCACCTTCTTTCCCGTGTTGGCAGCGTTGATTGTGAGCGGGAGATCTGACCCTGATCAGACAGCTGAGCCAGAAACCACTAAGATAAGTTGGAACTGTTGCACTTTCTGGCAGTTGATTGGCAGTTGTTTTCAGTTCAACTGAAGTGCCCTCCGTGTCTGGAATGAGAGTCCCTGTCTAGTTGTTTTGAACGTGCCGCACTGAGATCGTTTTTTTTTTTGTTGTTGTGTTGTTTTTGTTTTTTTGCTTTTTCTTCTCTTCTCCTGGATTGTTCCTGCAGTGGATTCCCCTACTGACTTTGATGGCGAGCCTTCCCACCTGGACTTAGAAAGATCTGGATTTCCTCCCATGTTGAGTGAGACCTGAACCAGGATTTAATTTGATTCATTTGTCATCTAAAAGAGATTAGAGCGCAAACTACCAGGGTGCACCCAATAGATTTAAATTTGATATTTAGCACTTGGCCAAGTATTGTTGTTTTTATTTTATGTATTTTATTGTGTGTAATTTTATTTTCTTAATTGTATGTCTTGTCCACTTGTGAGTTTATGATTCATGTTACTAAAGCTAATTGTTTTTTAAATTCACTCAACTGTGTATGTGTGTCATTTAAACACCCATCGTGCTCCGACAGCCGAACCTATTGGCCCATCTACCTAAAACATATTGTACCCTTCTCAACTGTGTTACAGGAGAAGCTTTGGCGAGCCAGCCAGGAGCACGAGTGTGTGTGTTTAATTGTTAGACATCTTTCACGTATTGTTAGAACTTGCTAAGTACTTCTAAAAAAAAAATGGATGTGGTACTCCGTGAGTCCATCCAAATTCCCCATTCTTTGGTTGTTAGTGGCTTGACAGGGTCAGAAATAGATGAGTAAGTATCAATATTTCTCCAGAAGTATGGTTCCATTAACCGTTACATTCACTTAGATGATCCTAAATCAGGTTTCCATAAAAACATGATTTTTGAGTTTGCACATGAAACTGCCATGAAGACATTGGAACCACTGTTGCCTCTTCAGCTTCCAAGCACGACTCAAGCAGGGATTGTGTATGAGTTGAAAGCTTTAGGAAGTGTCTACACCGTAGAAGCCAGAAGCAAAGCTACTAAAATGTACATGGAACAACTCTCTGAAATTGCCATGCTGAGTGGAAATTCACTAGGAGAAATGTTGAAGGAGGAACTTAAAAGTCTAGTTTCATCTGTCGAAAGTTCCTTTGCCCGATCACCTCAGACTGATCCAGAATCCTCAGCTCCACAGAGTCCTATCCCACAAAAAGACTCAACCAGCAAAAGAAATATCCCATCTTCTGAAAACCCTCAGTCATTGACGGCTACAGATTCCCCGATTTTGACACCAGCAGTAATCCAAGTAAGCCTCTCAACCCTTCTATTTTCAGTAAAAACCTGATTGATCTCAACCCCCCACAGACTTTGTCATTCTCATCTGAATCCACTACTACGCCAGTAATCGATGTTAATCCACATGCAGTTCAGCGAGTGGTGGTTGAGCATGTGGTGCGCAGCAGTGATACCTCACCCCAGTTTGCTTCACCCAGTAGACTCAGAGCTTTTTCAGGCAAGAGTCCAAGTCCAAACCATGAAGCAGATTATGATACATGGCGTGCAAGTGTTGAAATTCTTATCAGAGATCCATCTGTGTCAGACTTGCATTGCACACATTGTATATTAGACAGTCTTCTTCCTCCTGCTTCTGAAATGATTAAACATTTGAGCCCACAATCTAGTCCCTCAACTTATCTCAAGTTGCTTGACTCCGCCTACGGGACGGTTGAAGATGGTGACGAGCTTTATGCTAGGTTCATAAGCACGTTCCAGAATGACGGAGAGTTACCTTCTGTTTTCCTGCAGAGACTACACACAGCCTTAAGCAAAACAATGAGACGTGGTGGTGTATCCGCTCCAGAGTTTGATCAACAGCTTTTAAAGCAGTTCTGTAGAGGCTGTTGGGAGAATGCTTTAATAGCCGATCTTCAGTTAGAACAAAAGAAAGATAAACCTCCTAGTTTTGCAGAATTGTTGCCTTCTTAGGACAAAAGAAGATAAACAGGCTGCAAAAATGACTCGAATGCGACAGCATTTCAACCATGCCAAGTCTGGCCACATCCCCAGCAAGCAGCGTGCCATGTCACAAGTTCATCTTGCATATGACAAAAATGATTTGATAAATAAGACTGATCTTGAGATGCTCAAGCAACAAATTGCTGACCTCAGCCTTCAGGTGAAGAGCATTGTGTCAGAGTCAAAAGTCAAAACAACTTAAGCAACAAAAGTCTGTTCCTCTAAGTGTCACACATGAAGCCCATGTGGTGAAACCAAAAACAAGCTGTCAGCATCCTTCCACAATTAAAGCAAATGGCAGACCACGTCCCTGGTACTGTTTCCAGTGTGGAGAGGATGGCCATGTTGTTTCAGTCTGTGAAAATGCACCAAATCCTTCCCTTGTAGCAGCTAAGAAAAAACAGCTGAAAGAAAAGCAGGCTGCTTGGGAAGCCTCTAATGCTTCTCAAAGTGAGACACATTTAAACTAGTGTCTGCTCCCATAGAGGGACACATGGGAGCAGAGTTACAAAATTCCAGTCCCAAAACCATGAAAGCTGTTGTTAAGAGTGTTGGGGTAGAAAGGTCGAAATTGCCACATGGCCTGGTGGGAACTAAAACTACAGCTCAAGTGTCTATTGCAGGGAAAGACACAAACTGTCTGTTGGACACAGGTTCGCAAGTCACAACTGTGCCCAGTCCTTTTATGAAGAACACCTTTCTGATCTGACCATTCATTCTAAATGATTTGCTTGAAGTGGAGAGTGCTAATGGCCAGTTTGTTCCCTATTTAGGATATGTTGAGCTTACCATCACTTTCCTAAAGAGTTTGTTGGCTCTGATATTGAGATTAACACTCTGGCTTTGGTTATTCCTCACCTCCACTCTGCAGCCCATGAACAGGTGCTTATAGGCACAAACGCACTTGACGTTCTTTATGCGGATTACCAGAACTTTCATCTTTTCAGCCTTTGATGAATGGCTATCAGGCTGTTCTCAAAATACTTGAGATACGACAAAGGGAGCTTATCCACAGCAGCCTTGGTTGTGCAGAACTAACAGGCAAGCTGCCTAAAGTTGTTCCTGCAAGGCGGGCCGCTGTTGTTGAAGCTTTTGTTCCATTAATTGTTTGAACATTCAGAGAGATGTTATTCTTGAGCAACCATCAGCTTCTTCTCTACCGAATGGTTTACTCGTTTCAGCGATTGCAGTAACTTTACCAAGCAAACACTCATGTCATATTCCTGTCGTACTGAGAAATGACACCAATCATGACATAGTCATTCCCCCCAAAACCATTGTGGCAGATGTTAATGCTATAGTACAGGTGTTGCACAAAGAACATACTGTCAACGAATCAGACTATCCTAAATTTCAAGCAAAGTCTTCCCACCACTGAACTTTGATTTTGGAGATTCACCTTTATCCACTGAATGGAAAGAGGGAATAACAAAATGTTAAACACCATGCCAAACGTTTTCTCTCAGAATGACCTGGATTTTGGCCATACTGATAAAGTGAAACACAGAATCAAGCTCAGTGATGAGACGCCTTTTAAGCAGAGAGCACGTCCGATACACCCCAACGATGTAGATGCTGTGAGACAACATATACAGGAACTCCTAGATTCTGAAGTCATACGGGAATCTGAGTCTCCATTTGCTTCTCCAATTGTTGTGGTTCGCAAAAAGAATGGTTCTGTTCGTCTGTGTGAAGATTACAGAAAGCTGAATATGCAGACCATCAAAGATGCCTACGCTCTTCCAAAATGGAAGATGCTTTCACTGCACTTGCTGGTTCTAAGTGGTTCTCCGTTCTAGACCTCAAGTCAGGCTACTATCAGGTCGAAATGCAAGAAGCAGACAAGCATAAGACTGCATTTGTGTGTCCAGTTGGATTCTGGGAATTCAACAGGATGCACAAGGAATAACAAATGCACCTTCAACCTTCCAAAGACTGATGGAAAAATGTGTTGGCGATATGAACCTAAAAGAAGTTTTAGTGTTCATTGATGACTTGATTATTTTCTCAGCCTCCCTGGAAG